GCCAAACGACAGTCGATGCGTGGTACAAACAATCCCTCGCGCCGTAATCGTCTCGTCCACTGTGGTTGCTTTTGTCGTTGGAGAACGTGTCGCGCAGCAAGCAAGTGTGTGGCCATGGACTTAGGTTGGGCCTCGACCTTGATGGTGGGTAGAACGAAAGGGTGCCGCAAATCCACATCCATTCTGTCGCTCGTTAAGTGGAAAAAATGGTTGTGGTTTCCATCTATCAATGTATCAACGCATCGCTCCATGACGGCGTGTGCATTTTGCACGCAAGGTGCTTTGAGAACGGGTCGGGTAGTCCCGTCATGAGAGACGACGTCTTGGAGACGCGGTATCAACATGTTGACGTCTAACCTCGTTTCCATGTCAGTTATTGGACCCACTCGCACGGCGCATGCGTGGGCTCGACTACGACAAAGGTCGGGCTGGTGGCGCCCTTGTTGATGACGATGCCGAGGCTGCCAAAGAACGCGTCCCGTCGCTCGATCGTCACGGGCTGCGACGTGATATCGACGCGGCGCTGCAGCGCGAGGCGACACACTTCGGTTGCGCCGCTGCTGTAGAGCACGATGTAGCAGTCAGACCCGCGCTGGCTCAGGCCCGGGCACGCGCGAAAGGCCGCATTGACATAGAAGAAATTGTAGATCGAGCAGCCGTGCTGGCGGACGCAACCGGCCGACCTCAGAAACACCGGCAGCAGAAGACGCTGCTTCCAGTCGGTTGCGCCGACGGTCGTATACCGCGTCGTGATGGCCTTGGCGAGAAGCGCTAGACGGCAAACTAGTACGTTGCAGCACGTCAAAGCAACGCACCTGAGGCGCCGCCGTCGTCACTGGACGGAGCGCGCGCAAAATACAGGAACGGAAGCGCAGCAATGAGGAGATGGAAGAGCAGGAATCTCCAAAAGATTTGGATGGTACTGGGCTCCTGACCTGCGAAAATCATCCCGTAGAGCCGCACGAGGAGGTTGCTTTGGGCTTGGAGATACGTCAGCGGACCCGCAAGAAGCGTCGCGAAGACCGCGAGAAGGGTCGGGTTCGCGGGCCGGTACCGCGCTTCCCAGTGGTAGTGCTTGAGCGCTCTGGAGAGGAGTGCGAGGGACCCGTATGCGAACCACACCTAAACGAGTCGTGAGATACAAGAGTGAGAGTGAGAGCCTCGCACCGTGCGGGAGAGGTACATGCAGCCGAGGATCGCATGAGCCAAAGCTTCAAGCTGGGACACTGCAATCGTCGACGACCCGACGACGGGCACGCTGAGCCAGAGGTCAAGCGTCCTTGCCGTCACAAGCAGCGGGTCCAGGATGACCAGCGACGTCGGGTCGCCCACGATCACGTCGCAGCGGCTGGCCGCGAGCCGATAGCACTGGCGGTGCAGCCGTCGGACTGGCAGCACATACGTGCGTCGAACCAAAAGCGCAGTGTACAGGGCGAGCGCCACGCGGAAGCCCAAGATGCCGTAGAGAAACTGGGGTGTGCGCGCCACGTGAAACAGCTCATAGACAGTCAAGTCGTCGTCGTCGTTGTCGCTGGAGGCGAACCAGACGCAGAGCACGGACGCCCGCAGCGAAAACAATCGGTTCTCTTGGCACCCGCCCGCGACTGAAGACGACGACGTGTTCTGAACAACGGCGCACACGAGCGACTGGAGCCGGGCCGAGAGGAGCCCGCCCGTGTGGAGCTCGTACAGTGCGCACTCGGTCGACATGTTGAGTGTGCTTCGGTAGACGTCCGTGTTAGTCTCGCGGTCGTAGGTGTAGCTAGCGCCACATGCAAAGGCGGTGTCGTTGTAGCTACAAGCCATTTCGATCGTTGGATATTGCTGTCGTCATATACCGCGCGGAGGCTGCGGCGAGCCAGAGAGGGCTCGCTTCTGCCCACGAGAGGTGCGACGTGTGGCTGGTGACAGTAGGCACCGAGATGGTCCACGGAAAGGCCTCGTATAGATATGCGTCGAGCGGCTACGCCAGCAAACCGTGAGACCACCGACGATTTAAAAGAGAAAACGCCGACAGCGACTATGATGTAGAGACTCATGAGGGCGCTGCAGATGACAGACGGTAAATTCCAGCGAACGTCACTGGGCAGTGTGAGCTGCGGACCCGGGAACGGCGCGACTGCCGTCATTGCTGCCTGTCTACGCTCTGGCGATTGATTGCGTGTGGTAATTATAGCCCGATTGGATTTAGTAACGACGTAGAAATAAGCGCGTAAATTGATGGCATACAGTACAGTGTACATGTAATGTGCAGGCCGCGATATCGTGCCGCCTAGACAGTGGTTTAGACGGTGTGATCTCCATCCACGCCATCCCAGATGGTCGCCGGGAGTCGAAGGATCGTCATCTTGACATCCCACGGCGCGCCATGCCAATCGTGCTGCTGATGCGCGCGGTGATGTTATCGGAAAAGTCAGGATAGGGTCGACGCCTTTGGAATGCAACGTATCTTTGAGACAGTCTTGATGCAATACTACTTGACGGGAAAAAGTCGCGCGATGCGGCCATACAAACACCACATGTACTCGAGCGGATCGGAAAACATGAATGGTATTTCTCAGCTTAGACGCAAAAGCACGACGGGCCGTGGAGGTCGTGGCCAGCGTAGAAAGGGACGGCCGGCAATGGCGGAAAGCAGAGCCGCGAGAGGTCCGTGTCCAGGTCGAGCACCTCGAGCGACAAGTCGGGCTGGCCATACATGGTCCACGTCACGGGCGGCGAGAGCGCGTAGCCGCCGGCTGGTGCGACCATGGGCTGCGGCATCGGCGTCGCATGCTCGTTGGTCGTCTTGCGCTTCGACTTGTTCGTCGGCTCGGCGGGCGGTGTCTCGAGCGCGAGCAGGATCGCGTC